AGAGAAGACCAGCTTTCAGAGCGCCTGTCCAACATAATCAGACTCTGACATCACTTGCCGGAATCGAGCAGACTTACTGCTACCAATTAATCATTTTCTACCATGACAACATCCAAGCATGGTCTAACTGAAAGCCACCACAAGTGAAAAGAAAATGTGATCCCATTTGGATTCTTTGCAGTGGCTGTTTTTAGCATTCCCTGAAACTGAAATCCAATGTTCTTTGTATATGTAGCTTAAGATATCAAACATGATTGATTGATGGTGCATAAGTGCAAAATATTGGAACATATTTCTACACGGAACATCTTTCGAGATTATATTTTACCATATAGGTTCTTTTAATGCTGTTTCACAGGACATCATTTTTCACCATGCTACGCCAGCTCCAAAGCCACCGGTAATATCCATATTTCCCTCTTTTATCCCTCCGAGGCCAAGTGCGGATTACGATCAATGATTTACAACAGGTCCAAGTCATTTTAGACATCTGGCATGCGCCGTACACAAAACAGCTGAAAGAATAGAAAAAGTGTTTAATCTGGCAACACACGGCTTCTCTTTCACAAATGATATCTTTTGATTCCCAAATTCCCTTGGAAGAGCATTCAGCCACGCTGGGAGATTGGATTTTGTTACTGTTAGTAAAGAATGTCGCACACAAAGTTCAATATAGTCCTGGCCATACTGGATTCATGGATTATTGTCAGTGACTTTAACACAAAACAGCAGTTTTCCCAAAATAAAACATGATCAGTGATCAGTTATGAACTTTGCTGGTGACCTTCTGATTGTTTAGTGACTCATGTTGTTCTGTCCGTGACTAGTAGCCATATATGCCTCTTACTCACTCTTTCCACCTTTGCTCCCAAAAAAACATGACTTACCCAAGCTTGCTCTCCCCCGGGGCTAATTTGTGGCAGATAAGAATGATGAGTTTAAACAAGGCCCACTTGTCAAATAAAAATGGTTAATACATGCTACTCTTTCATACACACCTTTCTTTGGTAATACACATGCTATTCTGCTGTTAGAAACTACAGCTGCAGGGGACATCACAATGGAGCCTATCCAGGTTACTGGTGGCACAGGCTTTACATATTTGATGTATTAGTCATTGCAATTGATGGTAAAACTCAGGAGAAAGTCTTAACCTGTCTGTAAGATAACACTGCGTTGCTGCGTCATATCATTCCTATAAACTGCCCATCCTCAGATGTTGTTCCAGTTCAGCGTGCTGTTACCATGCTGTCATAAACACAAGACTGATGCAGTTTTAAATATGGAAAAATACATTTTGGCTTAGTTAGGAGTGAAGAAATTAACTAGAAACAGCCCACAAAATAGCACAGATTTAGCATTTAGAAAACTTAAAAATCTCTCTTTCTCACTTTCTGTTATTTCAGTGTAATTCTATTTTTTCATGAGATTTGCTTTTGTCGCTTAAGTGCCCATAACAATTGTTAAGCACTCAAAAGAGCTACCATCCTTACCACTAACAGCGCTGAGGCTTAGTTTGATTTAATTCCTTAAGCACTTAAGTGCCTGATTACTTTGTGTCCTTGAGCTGACACATGCAAAATCCCCTTCTATAACCCCATATTTTGGTGAGTGTCTCAGCCTACTACCCTACAATTGTCGATCATCCAGCTGTTTCAACCATCTGAAGCCTGAGGCGAAGTAAATCGCAATGTTTAATACAGGGCAATATTAACTTTAATCTAACGTTGCCATAGAGTTCCTTCTTTGTTGATCCTTATTGTCGGTATCACTCCTTTTAGATGGGGTTTAGATGTTTTGAACACCTGTTGCCGTAACTAGCCTATTTGGCAACGCATTTTCTTTGTATCAGTCCACATCATTCAGAATTATCTCTGAATGTGCCCCGGGGTGCCCTATTTTCATATTAGAAATATCAGGTCTATCAAATCTGTTTGTGCCTGAGCATGTTGAAGATCGCCTGAAGATCTGGAGTTAGAGAAACAGTTTGACATCTTTGGAAATGTTTGTTTGCTTTCTTGTCGAGAGTTAGATGATAATATTGATAACACTTTGTCTGTGCAATACATATTAATTGACTGCCAGAAGACAGTTAGCTTATCTTATTATGCAAAAATATATGCCTCTGTGAAGGTGTTTATGAAAATGTAAATCTCTTTCTTTCTGCTATTCTATTGGTTTGCATTACCAAGGTAGCTTTGTAACTTAGAGGTTATGTTTTCCGTGTGGTTTCTTGGTTTGTTTGTCTGTTTATCATCAGGAATACGGAAGAAATACTGACATTATTTGCATGTAACTTGGTGGAATGGTGTAGCATTTGCCAGGAAAGAACCCATTACATTTTTGAGCAGATACATCACAGGGGGGATACCCACATTATGTTTTACTTATAACAGCCCTTCTATTTTCAAGTTTTTGTCGGTGCTCCAATCTAAATTAATCTATAAACAAGCATCCACATTTTTTGTGTTTAAAACATTCAATATAAAAGATGTTTGAGCTATGACAGACAGAAATTAATTTTATAAATGAATTATGAAGTTCCTATTTTCCATATTCTGGGACATCCTATCCTGTAAACACACTAAACTACATGATGTAATCCTTTTCTGTTAGTATTAAGTGTTTTATCTCAAGCCCATGCAGGAAGGAGCAGAGAAATTCTGCGATTAAACACAAACGAGCTCTCCCACTCACTGACAAGCGTATAAGCGCCCCCAGTTGGAAACTAACACCAGGGAATACACTTAGAGTAAACACTTGCTATCTTTCTCTGCTGTAGTTTTGGCTCACTGCAGTGGGTATTCATCAGAGCTTGGCAAGTCTCTGCACCTCCAACACAGTCTTGTCAGTAACACCACCCACGCTGTGAGCTCACGGTCACGCCCACTGCGATGTGACCAGTCACACCTTCCTATGATATCTCAAAAACTTTTCCCATGAAACCAAAGATTCTGATCCCACCTTCATCCCATTTCACAGCCATGAAGCCATTTTCCATATGAAGGACAGTTGGAGCAGTAAAGCATCATTACTGCCTCGTGACTTCCTGCAGGCCTTTGGTTCACCAAGGTGAGCTCTACACGCTGTAAATCCTTTATGTCACACAGAGATCATAACAAAATCAGAGTTCCTGTGGTATGTGTACACTGGCTGTACAACAGGTATCCAGATGTTGAGTCTCGAAAAAAGTCTGAGGTCCATATATCCAAACTATTTTTAGACAGTCCCTGGATTTGAGAGGGAAAGTCGTCAAAGCACGTAGGCGCCTCTGGGCTTCCCTTCCCTGTTTTCCATAAGTCTTTTGTCTCTGTTACACACTCACACTCTTTTTTAACTTCCTTCTTTATCCACAAGTTTGCTTTCTGACGTGATTCAAAAAGTTAGAAAAAAAAGCCCAAATGCATGTTTGGTCATGGGGCTGACGTGACACAAGTCTGTAATGAGGAGTGGTTTTGGAAAGGAGAAAGAGAGGTGATAGGTTAAATGCTCAGCAGTAAATATTAGACCTCATCTGTCTGGTGATGTCATGATTTGACAGAATCTGAGCAAATGTTTGAGTTCATGAGAATTTTAAAATACAAGGAAATACACAGTTCAATTGAATTGAATAAAAAGTGGTGGAGAGTAACAAAGTAAATGAATTGTGTACCGTTTCGATTTCTTTTTAGTTAAGAGTACTTGAGTGTTTTCATTTTTTTAACACGTACTAACCTGTTTTCAGGTACAACATTTCATGCTCTTTGCCACATTAGTAGTTCACTTTCAGCTTAAAATTTCGAAAAAAAGTGTTTCCAAATCCTTTTAACCATGGCCCCTTCTCAGAGCCAGTCAAAATATGCATCCCATATGGTTTCATTAAATTAAATATTAAAGTTACAAATAGGTATAAAGTGTCCAATTATTTGCAAATAAAAGTTTAGACAGGAGAACATTTTGTCCTTTTTTCTACCACATTAATCATGTCACACTGCCTTACATTTGCCCTGTGACCCTTTAGTAGGGGCTCTAACCAAGGGTTTTAAACAAAAGCACATCATTTTATAGGAAGGCTTCTCATTCATGTCATATCTTTGGCTTTCTGTATTTAACATTAAAATACAATGATAATATGGATTAGATGTTTGGATATATCCATGATCTTCAACGCACACACTCAATAAAATTCATTATTTCCCACTCACTTTTTGAGGTTATTCCACCTATTTGCTTTCTTTCTTATAACACAGCCACAACACAGCAATGTAGTTTATGTATTTTGTATTTTTTTTTACTGTATAATTATATTTCAAGCTTAAAAAAAACTTGGTGTGGGCATGTATATGTCGTTGTATTCCCCCACCCTTTCTACACTTTACTATTATACAGGAACCCAGACCCATGCATCCCTCATCTTAACTCACATATGAAGACCATTTCATTGCATTCATTACTCAATGAGTCCCCTGGCGGCCAGACTAGGAAAAGCATTTATTAAAAACACACCATATTAAACCAGTAAAAAGTATGTTAAAGGCTAAATATGAGCTGGAAATAACACATAACTTTAGGGTTATGGAATATAATTGAATCTTTTATATGACTTTTAAATCCACTCATAAGTGGTTTTGTCTAACGAAATAATTGGCCAACTCACTTTGGATCATATTAAAAAGGAATCTATTGGCCTATATATTATTTCTTATTTTGTATAAAATGACAGCTTTATAAAATTAAGACTGCTAGACGAATCAGTAGACTTTCATTATTTGACCGGAAACGACCAAGACTTGGCTGTGGAGCGTGTATGAGATTTTTGTCCGGTGATGGAAACAGGGCTCAGGAATGCATTTTTCCCCTGAGTGTGTGCGTCGCGGATGTTACTCTGACTGGCTGTGAGGTAAGAAAATAAGTCCGTCCCTATTTTTTCTCCTGCAGTTATCCCATTGGTCCAGGCGGATTCCAGGAATGTCTTCAACATGTTTAAATAGCAGCAGTATCTGAGGATAAGTCAGTAGAATAAATCCAAGCAACGGAATAAATCCCGGACAGGAGCTCACAGAGAGACCTCTACAAAAAACGAAAAGCTTATAAGAGACTTGAAGGAAGAAAAACGGGATACATAATCGGACAATCAAGGACTTTTGTATTGACTATTTTCAGAGAGAATTTTCCTTTTTAAGGTTTGTAGACTATTTTCATTATTATCATTATTTATTGATGATGATGCAGCCTAGATGTGTCCCTTAACGGCGTGTTTGGTATTCTTGGTTTCAATAGGGATCACTTGAGATATCGACATGATGCTGTGTGGCATCTTCTTGCTGTTGATGCTTTGGAGCTGTGAAAGCGCCAGATTGGCAGGTGAGGATGGAAAACGTGAATTTAATAGTTTTTTTTCACCTGTAAAAACGTTAAGTAATCCCATATTTACACTAGTCATTACTGCAGGGACTTTAACTGAAATTATGATACTTACCTTAATATCTTATATTAACATATACATAAATCAAAAATATAATAAGAAATCTGTATTTTTGTAAGGTTTTGTTGGATTATAGTAAATATTTCTTCCCTTGTGACTTTGGGGTTTCTCTGTTTTTTTTTCAAACGTTTTCATGCACACTGATGAAAAATGTAACAATGCTTTTTTTTCTTTTCTTTGACTGCAGAGAGCCCAGATGATAACAGTGTGTATGACTTATTTGATCTGGCCCGGGTAAGCAAGAGACACAATGGAGTGAGTATAGTGAAAGGTGCAGATCCCTACAGCCCTGCATACAAAGTCCTCAACCCAGACCTGATCCCCCAAGTCCCCGACAGCTCCCTCAGGGACCTCCTCGACTCCATCCAGGCTGAGAGGGGCTTCCTCCTCCTGGTCAACCTGAAGCAGTTCAAGAAAACCAGGGGAAGCCTTTTGACCATCGAGAAGAACGATGGATCTGGACCTGTATTTGAGATCATCTCCAACGGGAAGGCCAACACTCTGGATGTGGTCTACTCCACCGTGACCCAGCAGCAGGTTGTGTCCATCGAGGATGCAGATTTGGCCACCGGACAATGGAAGAACATCACCCTGTTTGTTCAGGATGACCGGGTGCAGCTTTTTGTCGGCTGTGTGGAGATCAATATATCAGAGATGGATTTGCCAATCTCTCAAGTGCTGACCCCGGAGGTGGCAGACATTGCCAAGCTCAGGATTGGAAAAGGAGCTGTAAGGGACAGATTTATGGTAAGTTGCACAATGTTTTAGCTCAATGATGAAAATGATATATTGGGCTTACAGAATAAGTAATGTAAGAAATTATAGGGTTATTAAAATTATATTTCTCTTAACTGGAATGTATTGTCCCCTCAGGGAGTGCTTCAAAATGTGCGCTTTGTCTTTGGAACCACTATTGATGCCATACTGAGAAATAAGGGATGCCAGAATGGAGGTAAGTCTTGAAAATAGATCAGATATATTGAAATATATATATATATATATATATATATATATATATAATAGTGATTGCTATTCAAGTGCATAATAAGGAAATGTATATAATGATACAAATTGGCCAACTAATTGTGCTTCAGTCAACAGAAATGAATGTGTCTAACCTCACTTTCCCCCCCTACAGCTACTTTAACTGATGTCATGACCCTGGAAAACCCAGTCAACGGCTCCAGCCCTGCCATTAGGACTGATTACACCGGGCACAAAGCCAAAGGTGAGACCTCTCCTCCCCTTACTGTGTCCCCTCTCTTTTCCTCAGTTGTAATCTTTAAGAAGTGAAGTCATTTATTGGACTCTTCTTTCCTTCAGATGTGCAGTCTGTCTGCGGCTTCTCTTGTGACGACATCACCGGCATGTTTAAGGAGCTCAAGGGACTCGGTTTGGTTGTGAAACAGCTGACCTTCGATCTGCGCAAAGTGGTAAGGGCCATCAGGTTGTCATTTAGTCCTTCTTTACCCCTATCTCCATCTTCCCCTCCACTTCCATTTAACACGTTCCCAGTGTGTAGCCACTTGTCGCTGTAATGGCAGTCCCTGGCCAAGTTCTTAATGAGACCCATGTGAATACACAAATATGTTTGGCCGTCGTTTGCATTTGCACTGCTCCACTAGTTTCAAGCAATGTCATAATCACGGTGTCGCTCGGTGATTCATTTGTATTGGAACTTTGGCGAGGGAAGTTTTCCATCCTGAGCAACTCTCTCTCTCTCTTTTCCTTTAGTCTGACGAAAGCAATCTCATCAGAAACCAAATGAAAATCCGCAGTGGCATTTGCATCCACAACGGCATCGTGCACAATGACAAAGAAGAATGGACTGTGGATGGCTGCACCGAGTGCACCTGCCAGGTAAGTGTCATCACACCTGCTGGAATGCAACACTTAAACAAGTCAAAAATCAGTCGAGGAATGACGTTGTTGTGTTCCTTTATCCCAGGGGTAATGAAGTGATTATGGTGTTTATGTTAGCACCTCCCTTTAGAGCCAAATCGCTACTGTCTAAATGTCATCAACACTTAACTCCACTAGCAACAAAGCAGCAAGAGGCTAGTGAAGGTTGTGTAATTAGTTGAGTGTTAGTGTGAGAGTGTTGGTGAGGATTATGTTTTATATCACCACAACAGAAGTGTCATGTCAGTGATAAAGATCACTCCATTGGGAAACATAGCAATTAGGTTTGGATTAGCCCCAGCAAAGCCTGTTTTTTGTAGCCAGTCAACCAGTGAGCTCACTCATTATTCTTGTACTAATTCAACTCTTCCTCTATCCAGAACTCTGCTACTGTGTGTCGCAAAATCTCCTGCCCTCTGCTCCCATGCGCCAATGCCACCGTGCCCGACGGAGAGTGCTGCCCTCGCTGTGACCGTAAGCCTATTTTTAAATCAGCTCGTAACCTTTACCCAAATGTTGTTTAATTCATTCGCAAAAATCTTATCCCAAGGTAACTTTATGTCTTCCCTTACAAAGCAGGCGACGAAGCAGAGGATGATTGGTCCCCCTGGTCTGACTGGACACATTGTTCTGTGACTTGTGGTCGGGGCATCCAGCAGCGCGGACGTTCCTGTGACCGCATCAACAACAACTGTGAGGGCACCTCTGTCCAGACCCGTGACTGCTACCCCCAGGAATGTGACAAACGCTGTAAGTCACTCTGCATTCTTCCCACAGCCATTGTGATATAAAATATTCTCTGTTTGAGATCATGATGAATTAATTGTGTATGCGTTGCTCACAGTCAAACAGGATGGTGGTTGGAGCTTCTGGTCACCCTGGTCTTCGTGCTCTGTGACCTGCGGGGAGGGGGTCATCACCCGGATACGCCTCTGCAACTCCCCCACACCCCAGATGGGTGGCATGGACTGCCAGGGAGATGGACGTCAAACAGAAATCTGCCAAAAGTCCCCCTGTCCTAGTGAGTTAAATTTCAGTATCAAAGTATATACGGAACTGTAATGTGTCCTAATTCAAGGGAGGATACTGAATGTTGTTTTTATGAATCTTTTAAGTTGATGGAGGTTGGGGACCGTGGTCAATTTGGGACACCTGCAGTGTTACCTGTGGTGGAGGGTTTCAGACCCGCAAACGTCTCTGCAATGATCCCATTGCCCAATATGGAGGAAAGGAGTGTGTTGGTGATGCTACTGGTTCCCAACTGTGCAACAAAAAGGCCTGCCCAATTGGTAAGGATTTAGGATGTTACTAATGTTAAATAAATATGTCATTATTCATAACAGATTGCCCTTTTAACATTCAATGTCTTTTCCTCTGCAGATGGTTGCCTCTCCAGCCCATGCTTTCCTGGCGCAAAGTGCACCAGCTTCCCCGACGGCTCTTTCAAGTGCGGCAAATGTCCTCTTGGCTATACTGGGAATGGCGTCGCTTGCAAAGACATTGATGAGTGTAAAGCAGTCTCTGATGCTTGCCACACACATAACGGAGTCCATCGCTGTGAAAACACTCAGCCTGGTTATAACTGTCTGCCCTGCCCCGCCCGCTTCTCCGGTCCCCAGCCTTTTGGAAGAGGAGTGGAACAGGCAACTGCTAAGAAACAGGTTGGTACAATAACTTGCTCTCTGTGCGTGTAGCTAATAGGCTAGCTGTTTGCCATTTTTTTAAATTCCCTGTTATTTTCTTTAGGTTTGCAAACCCCGTAACCCTTGCCAAGATGGTAGCCACGACTGCCATAAAAATGCAAACTGCATTTACTTGGGCGTCTTCTCCGAGACCATGTTCCGCTGCGAGTGCAGGCCAGGTTACGCCGGAAATGGCAGAATTTGCGGAGAGGACAGTGATCTTGATGGATGGCCCAATACTGACCTGCGTTGTGTGGAGAACGCCACCTACCACTGCAAGAAGGTAGCCAGACCCCACAAGGGCAGAAATACAAAATGCTATTTTTACCCATCTTCACTCTATTATTGTGATGATTCCATCCTTAACCACTCCTTTGTTCCTTTGTAGGATAACTGCCCCAACCTCCCCAACTCTGGACAGGAAGATCATGACAAAGATGGTCTGGGTGATGAATGTGACAATGATGATGACAATGATAGGATCCCCGATGATAGGGTGAGTCATGACATCAGTTTATTTTAACCCCAAAGTGCGCTTTCCTCAGAGACCAAACATAGCAATCAGCAGCAGCCATCTTTCCTTTGGGTAGTAGGAATGTTAAGTCTCTATGTTTTTGTGCTTTCACCAGAGAGTGGAAAACATGTAGCAAAGTACAAAGCCAGAATTGAAGATGAGGTGGCCTGTTGCCCATAATTCTTAGTGTGGATTTGGAAAGTTGGGCAAGAAAAATGCTGTGGTAAAAAATTACCAGCTTGCTTGCAGTGGAATATCACATTCCAGCACAAGTTGGAGGAAAAACAAGCCATGGAAAGCAGTTTTGTTCCTATAAATATAATTTATATGAGAAGGACCCATTCAAGTAATTTAATTGCAATTTGATATTTCTCTAAACATTTAGGATAACTGCCCAAAAGTGTACAACCCCGGACAGTATGACGCAGACAGAGATGACATTGGCGACAGCTGTGACAACTGTGTGCACGAGGCGAACACTGACCAAACCGACACTGACAACAATGGAGAGGGTGATGCCTGTGCTATTGACATTGATGGCGATGGTAAGTGCTTTTCTACAAATTATATGCAAGTTTCTTTTCATGGCTTAACTTTGTGTAAAAAGTTGTTACTAAGATCTGTATAATTTGATTAAACAGGCATTCTGAACGAGGACGACAACTGCCCATATGTTTACAACGAGGACCAGAGAGATACCGACAGGGACCGGGTGGGAGACCATTGTGACAACTGCCCTCTGGAGCACAACCCTGATCAGGTAATTTTTCCTTTACAAGCCATCATTGGTAACATATATTGATCTGCTTTAACAAGGGGCTACATTTAAATCAGTAGCACCTCTCATATTGAATCTGGCACAAAAAAACAGTTACAGGATTTATTTGAAGTGAGGACAAGGGTCTGTATTGTGAGTGGGAAATCTCATCATAAAGGAATGCCGTTCTCCCACAGATCGACTCTGACTCAGATCTCATTGGAGACAAGTGCGACAACAACCAGGACATTGACGAGGACGGTCACCAGAACAACTTGGACAACTGCCCCTATATAGCCAATGCCAACCAGGCAGACCACGACAAGGACGGCAAGGGTGACGCATGCGACCATGACGATGACAACGACGGCATCCCTGATGACAAAGACAACTGTAGGCTGGCATTTAACCCTGATCAGCTGGACTCTGATGGTGAGTTAGTCTCCCAATGTTGTCTCACATGTGGTATTTTGAAACATTGGTGCTATTTATCTGACAAATAGCTAATTGTTTGTAGCTCCTCGTCCATCTTTGTGATTACCATGTCCATGTTTTCCTCTCAGGTGATGGCCGGGGTGATATTTGCAAAGACGATTTTGACCAAGACAATGTTCTGGACATCCATGACGTGTGCCCTGAGAACTTTGCCATTAGTGAAACAGACTTCCGCAGATTCCAAATGGTTCCTCTGGACCCCAAGGGCACCTCACAGATTGACCCTAACTGGGTGGTCCGGCATCAGGGCAAGGAGTTGGTGCAGACTGTCAACTGCGACCCTGGCATTGCTGTTGGTATGTTATACACAGACAGACATCTCACTGCATGGACACAAAGAAATACCGAACAATTGCTAACCCGTCTTTGATCTTGATTCAGGTTTTGATGAGTTCAGCGCGGTGGACTTCAGTGGAACATTCTTCATCAACACAGAAAGAGATGATGACTATGCTGGGTTCGTGTTTGGCTACCAGTCCAGCTCACGCTTCTACACAGTGATGTGGAAACAGGTCACACAGACCTACTGGTCCCACACCCCCACAAGAGCTCAAGGCTACTCTGGCCTGACAATCCAAGTGGTCAACTCTACCACCGGGCCTGGTGAGCATCTGAGGAACGCCCTGTGGCACACCGGAGACACCGCAGGACAGGTGAGAGAACATTGATTGACTTAGGTTGGAAACATCGTTTGACGCTTATCTAATGTTTGAAGCTTTTCTCATTTTAACCATTACAATTCATCCATTTCAGGTGCGTACTCTGTGGCACGACCCAAAGAACATCGGCTGGAAAGACTTCACCGCCTACAGATGGCATCTGACCCACAGACCCAAGACTGGACTGATAAGGTGAGTTCAATGCCTCAGGAGAATGCCCTTTCATTCAATTACAAATCTGTATCATATATATTAGAATTCGCAATGGGCTCATGTGATTACATTTTCTCCAACAGAGTGGTCATGTACGAAGGCAAGAGAATCATGGCTGATTCTGGAAACATCTACGACAAAACATATGCTGGTGGGCGACTAGGCTTGTACGTCTTCTCTCAGGAGATGGTTTACTTCTCAGATCTCAAATACGAGTGCAGAGGTAAGCACATAAACCTGGTTTGACAATTTAAAAAAGAGTGTTCACATCACCTTAGACTTAGACACCTAATTGTAACATGTTTTCTTTGTTTAATTTCTTTCAGACACATAATTGGACTTCAGACTACTCAGAATGAAGATATAGTACAAAACCTGGATTGATATCTCGTCAACTTTTTTTATTTTGGAAACTGCACATTGGAGGAATGATCAACAAGTGAGCTAATGTGAGGTAAACTGACCTCAGGACTATAAGCCAAATGAAAGTACAATGATGATTCTGCACCAAACTTAAAATTGTGAGCGCAGCTCTGCTCAGAAGAAATTGGCCCTCTCACTTTGTTGCTATGGTCAGCATTGAAGGGGGGGCCTAGATGTTATTGCTTTGCACACCTGAACGGTTGGAGGTTTTCCTCTGTGGATGAGGGACCAAAGGGAAGCGTGTTCCATGTTTTATTTTTTTTTAAGTATTATTATTATTGAGCATTAATATACATCTGCTGTGGACTCAAAGATGCTTTTTCAGTATGAAAAGAGAGCAGTAGGAGGACTTTCTTAGGCGGGGTTTTATATACCCCTTGAAGGAACTGTTGAGGGACCATGGACAGTATGGACTGACTGTTACTATCAAAGAGAGTGAATGATGTTGTGCATTTGTGCATGTGTGCCACCCAAGAAGCATAGTTATGAAGACAACCACGTCAATTGTTTATTTCGATTTATATCAACGACCCACCCTCTCGCAGACCTGTGTATATCAGGTGTCATGGTTTAGGTCTGGCCCGAAATATTAATCTTCTCAGGAAAGACCACAAGAAGAAACGATGAGAGCACACAATTCAGGACAGCACAGGGCCCCAAAGCAGGGGCACTGACCACTGCTTTGGAATAGCAATAATTAGCTAATATTATGGTAATACCTCAAATTTGTATTGAATGTGTCAAGGGACGTAAACAGAGAGGGCCAGTCTATTTCCTGCCATGAGTAAACCATAGTAAGTTTGTATGATTACACATTTTAAAGGCTTTAATTCTCATTCATCTCTGCATCCTTACATTTTGCCTTTTTTAAATAAAATATCTGCCTCTGGAAAGATTAGGCGGTTCATTTGGCCGATAAAAGTAAAAAATGTAATGATGCTGCACAGTGTGCATGACTGGTGTGCCTGAGCTTGTGTGTACATTTCTGACAAGGTCAAATCAAAGGAAACCCTTTATGTACAAATATTACCTCATTAATTCCTTTTGTATTTAGGTCAGCGATAGACAAGAATCATTTGTCTTAGCAACAGAGTATAAATTGGTTGGCTTCTTTTTTCTTTTCTTTTTTAAGCAAGACTTTAGTATCATTCATATGCTGTATATAAGATATTTTTGTAGAAGCCCAAGCAGGATCGTAAAGGATTAAAGAAATGTTTTCTTGACTATGTTTTGCTATGTGTATTTCCTGTGCATTTGTTTTGATAAATTATTTTGTTTGTTTTATGTGGAGGTTATTTCATTTGTGTAGATATATGCTATTTAAATAATTTATCTAGAAGCGGAGCCTCATATGGAAGCGTTTCTGTCTGTATAAACATATTTGCACACTGACATGAGGATGTCTTTGTTATTTTCGTTTTTTGTATGTTTTTTTTTTATTATTAGTGAAGCTTTTCTATAAACTTTGTACTATAGTTTCTACCCAAAGTGCTGTTTATACTCCTACCTGTATTTTGTAATGTCAAGTGAACAATAAACACTTCAGGATAAAAAGAAGATCTTGCACAGTTTCTTTCTTTTTTGGCAAACATTCAGTTGAATTGTCTCAAAACTCAAGAACGTCTTTCTCAGTGATTTTTTTAATTCAGACTTTGATAAAGGTCTTCTCCCCAGAAAAGTAAGAGAAGTGAAGCCATGCTGTGTCGAGCAACTGGAATCCATTATTGAGTCTGCTGAAGCCTTGGAGAAAGGGAGTATCCTTGGGAGTCAACAGCAGGAAAATCCAACATGAAGTATAGCCCACTTACACAGCTCATCCATAGAGATCTGATTACACATGACACAAGCTCGCCTTACACCTTCAAACGACAACACTCCATGTGAGATTCAGACATATGGAATTTTGCACTCTTAAGTGATAAATTCACTGTCTTTGGGGATGAAAACTTATGGCTGTTCTTTACTCTTGCCAGCAACAATGTGCATTTAAAGTGTCCTAATAAAACGTATCAAAGCAGATGAGGTATCCGTGGACTGGGTTTACAGTACCACTCGCTGACTGTTATGCAAGGGTATATCATCAGCAAGCAGAACTCTGACTGCTAATTTAGATGTTTAACAGGGCCTGGAAAGAGCTGTAATCTAAGGCACCAGTGAGGGTCGTGCCAGAAAACCCAGACAGTCTCAGAATGCCGTGGTTCTCTTTACATTAGAAGTGACCTCATTCTTACCACACTGAGCTCACTGTGTTTCCATTACCCCAAATGAGCAGCATATTGTCCCTATTGAAGATATCTTGTGTCAATTACATAAATGGTTTTAGTAAAAGGACAAACTGATACATATGCTACATGTGTATCTATTAAATGGTTATAAGAAAAGCATGGTACTATGAGTATAATCAAGTGGTGTCAGTCTGGAAAGTGCTTGCGTGTGCTCTTGGACCTGTGCTGAGGTGTCTGTTGAGATCTTGGTAAAGATATACAGGTCTCACTGATACCAGGGCCCTTGTAGGGATTTGACCTTGGAGGCTCACCTGGCCAACATATTTTTAGTCCAGTGGAATGTGAGATAATTCCTGTCGTTTAGAAGGGGTCAGAATGTGTGAGCTAGGTGAAGAGAGAGGCGAACAGGCCTTTAGGTGTCTAGTCCTGGGACAGAGAAAGGCAAGGCTGAGGTCAGCCAGGTGCAGACACTGTGCAAGCTTGGACAACCGTGTCAAAAGCTCAATAAATCTTCCAAACAAACCAAAAAGCATCACTCTTGAAGTTGGTCATCTCAGGTGGAATCCTGTTTTTTTAAATGAAAATGAAGCTGGTAAGGCCACACAGGGTTAAGAGGATCCTACTAATCTGGCCCACTCTGAAGCAGATCACCTATAGAGGCAGGAATGAAAGGAATGCTAAAGTGGATCCTACCGTCACTCCTGTGGAGCACACATCATTTCTCTGTCCTCATTAACAACCACACATTACCAACAGAGATATCTTGTATTTTATAGGAGAGGTCTTAAAGTTAATACAATATAGTGTGTGTACTTGTTTATTGGTGGAGTAGAACATCCTGTGGCCACTGTACCCGGTTATTAGATTTAATGACAGCAATTTACTGTTCTAATCTTTGGTACTTTGGTTAATACAAAGGGTGGCCCTGCTGCTTCTGTTTCCTCATGCAGGGCCATAAACACAGATAAAAACAATGGGAGACAATCCAGCTGCATATTGAAAACATGGAGCCCAATTAAGATTTGAAAAATAACAGCTCATTCATTATGCCAAAAGTTAAAACTTATTTTTTTCCAGTTGTGACACATCATGGACAATGTATTAAATGTAACCTCCTGGGTAATTTAGTTTTTATTAAACTAGGCAATTTTCTTGGTTCTATGTGGGTATTTATGAAATACGTAATGGTGTTTAAATGTCTGTAACTATTTACACATGGAAGAAGTCTCTTTTAAAAGTACATTGTTTACACTTACACCGAGGGTGCAGAGAACATGGTGAGGTGTTAAAGCTTTCCTTCTGTGAACTGGAGAAGGATCAATCTGTTATTTGTTTTATCACTGTATACCAGAATATTTTGGACAGATTTCTACCATTATCTATGCCTACCCATGTTTTATGTTTCAATGACATAAGATATAAAAAAGCCTGCTTAATTTGACATCTAATATTGTTGTTTGTTACAGTCTAACTCAGGGGTCGGCAACCCCTGGCACGCGTGTCACCATTGGCACGCGGCACCGTAACCAGTGGCACACCAGGAATAAGTGGAATAAGTGTGCAAAATATTTAAATTTTATTTTCGGATCCTGAACGAGACCGCCGCCAGAGCGCGTCTCCCCGTTACCTGCAGAAGGAAGCCATGCACGCAACGCAGCCCCGCTTTCTTTAACTCCAGGCGACTTTCTGCCGCTTTCCTCCGTGGTGCAGGGCTGATCGTTTCACCACAGAGGAAAGCACTTCACAAATTGCAGTACCCATAAGGAGCTGTACAAATACCGCAGTTTTTGCGTGGCTGTGTCTTTAGTTGAAAGCCCAGTGGCGATCTGCTCATCTCTCATCGAAATAACATGCTACAAAAGGGGCGGACTGGCCATCTGTGTGTTCTGGAGAATCACAGAACGGACGATCGTCCTTATTATGATGCCGTTTAAACCAATTATTTAAATTTGTTTGTTAAATTCGGCATCATGTAAGTTGCGCTGACAGGTCCACACACTGCTTCCCCGCAGCGAGGCTCCCCCCGCCCTCCTGTTGACAGTTCACGATCGTCGGCACACTGATAAAATAATTTTTTTCAGTCATATCAAAAAGGTTGCCGACCCCTGGCTAACTCTTAGAAGTCAGACATACTGCTTAGTTGCTGATTGGCTGGGGGCGGGAGTAACAGGTGTGTGTGAGAGCATCATTAGTGCTATGCTGCCTGGCCATCTCTCGGTGTGACGACGTTATTACTATAAATGCGATTAAAAGAGTGATAATAAAGTGGCTAAACATAGTGAGTTACAGTCGCTGTTAATTTAAGATAAATGTCGTGTTTTGGTATAAGGTTTTGGCTAAGCTAACAGCAGCTGCTACCTAGCACCTGTAACCGGACTTTATTAGCTCTGATGCTAATCTTGAGCTAGCACTATTTTGTATTTCATCCGACCCACAACTGCAAAGCTCAGCCGCACACCCAGCGACAATGGACGACATACTTTCTTCATCAATAGTCAATTAATGAATATAAGGAGCCGCCATTCCTGGAATAGAGACTGGGTGTTTCTCAATGTCGAGGAAGGCTGCTCCAGCCACTATTTCAAGCATACTACGTCATCGAGTGCCGCCGAAGGACTGTTCCAATGTCCAGCATACTTGGAATTCTACCGAGGCCGGCGTACTTCGTAGCGGGAAATTTCGAGGCTGCACATGTGTAGACTCCGCGGTCTTAAAATCCCTACAATGCTTTGCGCACGGACCAATTTCCAAATCTTTGGCAGAAATCGTGCTCCATTTAAGGCGGGGCCTCGCATATGACGCACACCTGCACACCTGTTAGCCTGTTCCACAATTCTTCGTCTTCCGAGGCTAGGAAGGATTCTTGCCTCGCTTCTCAAGCAAGTGACTCGGAAGACATGTGCTACCAAGCAAGCGTCCTCGACATTGAGAAACACCCTGTGGCTGCGTCTCACTTCGGTTATTTTTCATTTCCTCGCTCCTCGTTCTCTGTATCACCGGAAGTTGATTTGTCTGCGCCATCTTGAGTAGCGTCCCAGTGGCCTTATTTGTGCCAGAGGATCGAGGATCGAGGAGCGATAACGGAGGAGCGATAATCCAGGAACCACCAGACCATCCTCCGGTGAAATCCTCAGATACTCGCCCCGCCCCCTTACTGTGTATCGCTCACTGATTGGACGATGCAGCGCATGCACTGATCTGTTGCTTCTTGACATGAGAGCAGTTTCCCAGTGGAGTGAAGAAAACACATGAAACTCACGGGACTCACAACTCAGTTTATACCGTGTTTTGTTTCAATGAATGCATCATTTAGTTACAAATATGTGATATATCTGAACAACAAAGTGGTCAAAAATCATTTTATTCATTTATTGGAAACATTTTCATGATCGCTTTTTTCGTTTTACATTTTCATTTATTGTCATTTCCATTCAGTCAGTCATTAAGTGCTATTAAAATGTTAATTTGCTACATATCCACACAAACAAACAACGTGTGCAGTCCAATGAATGTTAATCTAACTGGGTTTTGATAGATAACATATCTCTTTTTCTTCTCTCAATTATTTTATTTCTATTGTGCACTCTAATCAATATTAATCGAACTATAGAATGAGTTCTTATTTTATTGTATTTATTTGGGTCTACACAGTGGCGGCGCCAGAGCATTTTTGTTGGGTAATCTATGGTAGGGCAATGGAGAGAACAGATGGTGGAGGTAAACGGTACTCTGTCCCCCCCCCTCCCAGTGAGCTGTGGTGTTCCACAAGGAAGCATATTAGGTCCGTTACTGTTCCTAATTTATGCAAATGACATGTCATCAGCATGTGACTGCAACTTGTTCCTGTTCGCGGACGACTCAGCCCTGCTGGTCTCTGACAGGAGCAGATTGCAGGTTGAAAAATCCCTCAGCTCCGAGCTCGGCAGAATCTGCACCTGGCTCGCCGATAATAAATTATCATTACACCTGGGTAAAACAGAGTCCATTCTCTTCGGTTCGAAACATAATCTCAGCAAATCCGACGACTTCTCAGTTGCAGTGGGTGACATTATTGTCACAAGTAAGAAGGAAATTACATACCTAGGATCTATTCTTGAGGCAAACCTCTCCTGTGACAAAATGGCATCCAATGTAATAAAAAAAGTCAATCAAAGAACTAGATTCCTATACCGGATCTCCTCTCTGGTAAACAAAAACACCCTGAAAACTCTGGCAGGAGCACTCATTCAAGGGTACTATGACTATGCTTGCACGTCATGGTACCATAGCACCTCCAAGGCGCTAAAAATAAAACTTCAAACATCGCAAAATAAACTGGTCAGACTACTGCTTGACCTTTCATCTAGAACCCACCTCACCTCTGCCCACTTTGACAACCTAGGATGGCTTAGAGTAGACGACAGAGTACAGCTACTTGCAATGGGCCTGGTCTACAAGATCCACTACACCTCTATGGTACCCATGTACATGTCAAAATTCTTCCCAAAGGTCAAGGAATACCATGATCATAACACCAGAGGGAGCTCCACAAATCATGTAAAACCCAGATTTGGCACAAAAAAAGGGGAATACACATATCGCAATTATGCCACATCAAGGTGGAACGCTCTTCCCACAACTGTAAAGGAAAGTAAAACTATACTTACCTTCAAAACCTCTCTTAAAGAGCACCTTCGGGGGAAAGCATTGCAAAACTGGCCCCGGTAATGGTACAAATCTCAACCTGTCGTACAATGGACAGCTTCCCCCCCCCATCTATGTATATACTCGCATTTTAGACTCTGTTACTAACTGTATATCTGTAGACTTGGTATGTCTTAAATGTCCGGTTAGGATGTATTAGAACGAAATCTAAAATGAAAATTGTAAATAAGCCATCTGTATGTAAAAAACCACCTGTATGTAAATTGTAAATAAGCCATCTGTATGTCAAATATGTCTTATATGTCTTAAATGATATGATGAATTGGAAATGGGGGACCCTGATGTAAACAAGACGAAAGTCTTTCTCTGGTCTGCATCCCCTTAACAATTGTATGTTTTGAGCTGTACTGTACTGTACCCAATATACAAGCTGTTAATAAACTTTTCAATCAATCAATCAATCAGGGCTAACCCATACAGTGGTGGTGCTCAAATCAGTATTTGCAATGTAATTACATACACGCTATATCGCCCCCCTTGACAGTGAAACGCCACGCGTGAGGTTTAGATTATTTCCCTGTCTCATTAAAAATGGAACTGTATGAAATAAAACGGCACATTTGTCTTGTAGTAAATAAAAAGGGATCACTGTGAACGTGACGTATGATAGTACACGTTGAAGATCCAATGGGGATAATGAATGGCGGTTTCGATTGATCTCAATCAATAAGGCATGACGCAGATCCAACGTTGCGTTGCTCTGATTGGCTGTAGGTCTATTCAAATTGCATTCGGAGGCATTTCGATCTGACCGCGGCCGCGCTGATATTATAACGCCAGAGAATTTCCACACCTTTAGTGTATAAAACTCCCCCACTACTTAGACTATTCCTTGCACCCCTCTTATAGCATAGGCCCGAATGGTCTCAACCATATTGCATCAGTAACGTGCACTTGTTGTTACAGCAGGATCAGTTTGTGTGCTGTGGACACGACCCGTGTATTTTCGCAATCCGTGTTCTCAACATTTAGCATTTCGCTTATTATTTAATTGAATTTGCATCACTTTTCATGGTGGGGCTAAGGTGTGGCTAAGCCATTTCTTGGTATGGCTGTAGCCTACCCCAGCCATACCCTGGCGCCGCCACTGGGTCTACAACAGATGATACAAATGTTTGTGTCGGTAAATGTGTGGCGGGGGTGTTTGTGAAAATAACGGGGAGAGAGCTGGCTGCTGTCAGACGATCAGCTGTGCGGAGTCATGACAAACGGACGTCGCTTCACGTGACGCTCCGGAGGAAAGGACGTCCCATTGCTCTTAAAACTCATTTCCCTGCTTCTCGTGGTTTCCTTGCGTCTCTCCATGCTTCCCTGGTGGGAGGGACTAAACGCAGGGAAACGACGCAAGTGAGGGACGCAAGGATTTCATTTAACCGAAGTGAGTTGCAGCCTGTGATAAGCAAGACTCCTAGGGGTGAGTAACACTGTTTTATGGATTGTCATGTTCAGCGGCCTTCATGATATCTGTGGCCTCACGCCCATTGGTGTGAGCCCAACAGTATTTATGTGTATGTTTGTTTGATAGGGTTAATTGAAGGTGCATGGTTAAATGTTTCTTTAGTGCACTTTTATGGAAAAAGAGTAACCCCCCCTTAGGTAAAGCGTCTTTAAGTTGTAGAAAAGCGCTATATAAATATAATGTATTATTATTATTATTAAGTGGTATACCACTGCAAAATTATCAGTTTGTTAGTTTTTCTCCCACTTAAAAGATAAATTAAACATATTTTTATTTAGAGAACTTGTTTGCTGAAAATGCAGTTTTCAGACCTCTAATAATGCAGAGAAAACATGTTCATATTAAATCTAAAACGCAACAATACTAGAGTTTAATCTAGAAATATATTTGTAATAAATATTTGCTGGAGTAAACTTGTTTTACAGCTTCCATGTGTCTTGACATGCTCTCTGTCAGTCTGTCACATTGCTGCTGGGTGACTTTATGCCTCAGAAATTGGCTGGCAAAAATAAATGAAGTTGCTCACCTTTGTTTGGTGGCTTGTGATCAATCCATCTTTATATTGGTTAATTCCAGATGACTCCTGTTATATTTATCGAGTTTTTTCCACATCCTTCGCTGCTTTGCATTCACATAGTCAGATATATTTACTGAAAACAATTAATTTTAAGTTCCATGTTCTGCTTTTACTAGGGATGCTCCGATCGATCGGCCGCCGATCGCTATCGGCCGATATTCACTCTCTGCCGATCGATCGGTGCTCTCTATAAAGGCCGATCAGGAGAGCCGATCACATACGTACGTAAAATACATGACACTTTTCTCAGTGCGCGGCAAAACAAGCTCGCCAAAATGGCTTCACCGGTCTGGCAGTATTTTAAGGTAGGTAAATAGCGGTATGCAACGTGTGTGAAGCAGAAATCCTGCAGCTCCGCCCGCTGTGACGGACCGGTGAGCGGAGCGAAACACACACTAATGGCGCTTTTCCACTGCAGCACGTAGCACGGTTTAAGCGGGCCGTGCCAAACCCAGCCCATTTTTTTTTGCTTTTCCACTAGGGCTAGTTCCGGCTCAGGGCTACTTTTTCACCTTTTTTCTGGCCCTCCAAAATCGAGGTTCTTACAACAACCGGGCTGAATATGCTAAACTAGTGACTTAAACACTCTCGACTGCTGAATGGTCAGAGAGAATCGCTGGCAAGGGGGCTACAACTACAACAAAATGAACATATTTTACCGTGATTTAATTGTAATACACGTTTCAAAATGATGCCGAAGTAACAAAATACTGATACCGGTCTGCAGACAAGACGGCAGTTGAAAAACCTTTTAAAATGCGTGTTTTCTGAATGGAGATCGGATCGATCAGGCTAAGCTAACGTTGTATATGCTCCGTCCACACTCACAACAACGGCCTACAAACATAATTAAAGCAGCGACTGTATTCGCCATGACACAGGCAGTCTGTGGTTTGTACTTGTTTAACTTTTGTCTAGTTTCTGAACAGATATGAGGAGCTGTGAGCTCTGAGTGCTAACTGCTAACTGCTAACAGCTGATGTTATGGTTTTGTGGTTCACATTGAAGATGACGTCACGGCAGTTTTACGCAGCGTCGCTCCGCCCGCCGAACAGCCGATCGCCCCGCCTACACTGCGTTACTATAGTTACTACCCCAGTTCTTAACTGTAATGGAAACACAGCATAAAGTGAGCCTGGCCTAACAAGGCCTAACAAGGCCTAACCATACCGTACTAAGCCGGGATAGGTCCTCCAATGGAAATGCGCCATAAGAGTTAGACCTAACACACTTAGCTATTTTATCTACCTCTGGAACAAGCTAAACTAGTTATAAATATGTTTATTCTTCACTGTCGGGTCACTCATTACTGGATCAGTGAGCTGCATGAGACGGATACTGACAGGCTGTCAGGAGAGAGAGAGAGGGAGAGAGGAAAAGAGAGCGCTTCCGCTCATTTCTCCCGTGTATTATCCAAAGTTAATGTAAACTTGAATAATGTACTTCATTTGAATGTAATAACTATGTTGGTTGTTGTTTGTGGAAGCGCCAGTGAATGAGCCCCATTAACTGAGTTTTAAACATCACTTTAAATGGAAGATCCCCATAGCCCCCACCCACTCGATCGGCGATCGGCCCCAAAATTGGCGATCGGAGCATCCCTAGCTTTTACAAATGTTTTAGATTTTGGATGTGGCGTTTTGTCAGTGTCGTTTTCAATTTGTAGCTACTATATCATAACGCAGTAATTGTTTTATATATTGTGAAAGTACTAATCATAAATTAGACCAGAACCATAGTTTAAAAGTCTATTTTACACATCAGAAATATACAGTACAGCTATAGAGTGGTGCAGTGACGAGTCCTAAAACCCGGAAGTGAGTTAGCATTTTACCACTACGGGTTCCCTCGTCTCAGAGTCAATGGGATTTCTCCATAGGATTTTGGAAAATAGCTCGAAATAAGGTCTGTGGTTGAAACAAATTTAAGAGACAAATTACGTTTTGTTCCCCGACATTAAATACATCAGCAGTGACCCCACTGGTGATTTTTGAAGAGTTTACACGTCTGAAAAACGATGGTTGTTAACAAGTGGCTGAATAGGACTACAGAAGTTGTCGAGGACGTTGTACACCATTACGCCGAACACGTAAACACTCCCGCTAAGTTTGTGTGCCCCTGCAAACTGTTAAAACAAACGCTACAACTTGAATTTTTTTTAAATATTTTTGAATATCGATCTTAAGTTGGTGTGACGTTGAAGTCGTGCGACCCTGCTGTAGTTCGTTTATAGCATAACGTTAGCATTTTGCTTCTGGCGATTAGATTTATGATTAGAAAATTATAAAAGTAGGGTAGACATGTGGATATTATCTGGCTGAACAAAACGTGCATTTATCAAACAGGTTTGTTTTCCACAAACCTTATTTCGAGCTATTTTCCAAAATCCTATGGAGAAATCCCATTGCTTTTTTGTCGAGGGAACCCATGCGCAGCTTACTTCCGGGTAAATACGTCATCCCTGCACCACTCTATTAGGCTCTAGAGTAGAACATTGAAACAAATATAAGACTGGTTAGTTATATTTACATAATTAGAAAAGCTACAATTTCACTCAGATGTTTGTAAATTCAGAATATCAGTTGTGATAGGGTTAGGAATTTGTTGTTAAATATGTTTAGATCCAGTAATGTTTATCTCATAAACGCTCTAGTAGCCGGATAGTGCTGTCCCAGGTAGATGCATCTTGATAGGCGTTCTGATTGTAAGGCTTCCAGTTGTTAGCATCTTTGGCTGCATTAAAAATCGCATGCTTTAAAAAGCACTTTTAATAAGTACTGCAGCTTCCAAGAATTGTGGGTCAACATAGTGAGAAAATCATGCTGACTTTTTGGCTTACTGCTTTTTACTTTTTATATATTGTGGACAATGGACATACTACATTTGTTTGTGTCATACTCCATAGTTAGTTTGGGTATTGGAACATACAGATTGTTTGAGTCTCAATCAGTTGTTGCGTTTGTCTCAAGATCCTGGGTCCAGCTGTCTGTCAGCTCACATTCATCCAGCAGACTAAGCAACTGCTCCTCAATAAGGTCCGATGACTCATTCTGCAAAAAGACACAAACATAATGTGTGATTTAAAAAATATATGATTTTAGATCCTAAGGCAAGGCAAGGCAAGTTTATTTATATAGCACATTTCAACACAAGGCAATTCAAAGTGCTTTACAAAAATGAATGACATTAAGAGCATTAAGAAACATATTATGAAATGACATTTAAAAACACATTTAAAAGCAACGATATAAAATGGCATTTAAAAACACTCATTTAAAAGCAAAGATACATGAATAAAAGTTACAGTGCAGTGTGAGATACACACATCAGAAATGCTTAGGTCTGACTCTCAATCATTGCTAACTTTTTAGCAGCAATAGTTTTCTATCATCTCCCTTTCTTTCTACTTTCTTGTTTAACTTGTCCTTTAGTTATATCAAGTGTTTCATGCTAAGGTAAAAAAAACTAAATCTGCAAACAGCGCACTGTTCTTTTATGACCAATCAGACACATGCAGCAGACCTCTGGCAGCATCAGGGTCATATATTATTACAGAAGTGACAATAGAATATCTTTCATAATAAATGTCATTATCTTTCATCAATCCTCCTTAAATTTGTTCCAATTACGGAAATATTTTAGCGAGATATAAAACTCAGTTCTTGACATATACAGACAATGTGTATGAATGCATGACCTGTAATAACAGTGGCAGTTCATAGTATCTATTTCCTCGCTCCTCCCTTGTGCCTAGTTGGAAGCCGTTTGGGGAAAAACACTTCCATTTAGAAATAACTTTTGTTTTTCTAAGGGAGAGTATGTGAGTTCAAGGAGAAAAAGCCAAACTTCTTAAAGTAGGTAACGAGGGGGAAAGAATTTCACTATTTGAATAAATGTCAATATCTATCCATGTAGTGTGACTGATGTATTATCTGGCAGATGCAACTGTTATATCTAATTATTATCGGTTTGTAAACTTAAATTCCTTTTCCATAATAACAAGTTAGACATGAATAATTCATCTGTAAACACATGCTTATTGAGAGTTGGCATCTCTTGGTATATGAATGCTTTACTTTGTTTAGACAGCTGCAACCCAACAGTGAGTTTGTTCCAGAATCATCAACCCATATTCACTCATGACATGAGCATTATACCTAAACACGTATCCAGGAATCACCGAGTCCAATCATAATCGTTCTCTCAGCATGTGCATTCGTGTTTCTAGCTGTCATCACTGAACAGAATGTCCCTGGCCTTAAGGAAGAGATGTCCTATTCCAGTTATTTTGTCTTGTCCAGACCTATCTCTTGACTTGGCCTTTCTCGTGCCAGGGCTGGAGAAAGGTCTAGCCAAGATTTTTCCAGGCCTAATTTGAGGAGGTGTTACCATCCTGATCATGTGCACACACGTACGTGTACAAGCCTGGACCGTGTTCAGTCAATGTTCTAAATTGTGGCCAAATTGTTACACACAACTCAGTGGCAGTATCTATAATGAGAACCCCTGAATATCACATTTAATTTAATTTTCTGTTTTGGTTTCCGGTTAGGCATGTCACAATATCAGATACTGAAGTAAGTCGATGCAAAGTTGGGAAAACGTGCTGTGTGGTTCTTCTACAGTACCTGTACATTAGTGTTGGCAAACTATGTTTCCAAGTGTAGTTTAGCTCTGTTTTGGTCAACAACTCCTGAGGGAGATATCTGGCTCTCTAGCTGCTAATTGACAATTATGGGTTCTTGCTGGGTATGTAAAACTGCTGCCTGCTGCAGCTGTGCTAAGTTTTTTTTAGATAGAGCTTTATTGTCTCCCTTAGGAGAAATTTGTCTTGGGCATCAAGATAATAAACATAACACATTTAGGACAATCAGTGATAGATACAGAACAGAGATCACATATCACATGGCAAAGAAACAAACAAGAAACATACAGGTACAGAACTTTCCCTATTGCACATACATAAATCAAATATTGCACTTTCCCTATTGCATTCATACATAATCAACTATTGCACTTTTCCCTACTGCATTCATACACAAATCAAATATTGCACTTTCCCTATTGCACCTATGCATAGTGTCCGTCAAATTGCACATATCCCTATTGTATCCATACCTATTTACACATATTGCACTTTCCCTATTTAACCTTCTCGATTGCACATACTACACTGTAAACATTGCACCTCCCAACAACTCCTAACACAGCATAATCACAATTGTTTCTGACTGTTCAGCAGCTTGATTGACAGTGGAATAAAGGAAAACTTATACCGGTTCAATTTACAGTTTGGTAATCTATACCTTCTGCCCTCGAGGGCAGCAACTCAAACTCTCTATACAGGATGTGTTTGGGGTCGCATGTGATTTTACGGCCTTGCTTTCTCACCATCTCCTCAAATATCTCCTGAAGAGAGGATGGTGGAAGCATGCCAATTATTTTTCCAGCCCTTTTTATCAAGCTCTGGAGTTGTGATTTAGATTTAACTGACAAGTTACCAAACCATGTTGTGATGCCATAACGAACAATAGGCTCAATTGCTGCCCTGTAGAACATTAACATGATACATGTATCCACTCCATGAACCCTGAGCCTACGCAGAAAATGCAGGCGCTGGCTTATCTTTGAGCATACCTGATCCACCTGATGGGCCCAGCCTAACTGAGCATCAAAATAAATCCCTAAATATTTAAAACTTGTAACCTGCTCAACTCCCTCCCTGTTGATAAGGACTGGGCTGTGATCACCTACTGACTTGGGGTCAAAGATCATTTCCTTTGTTTTTTTAACATTTAACACCAGGTTGTGCGCCTCACACCACTTCACGACCTCTTCAATCTCAAGTTTATAAATAGTTACCTTAGCAAATAGACACGAAGCGGAGTGAAAGAGCTAAATAACATTATCTTTTGTATTCATTTAACAAACATGATATGATGTTACAAAGGAATTAAATTAGCGCCTGCCAAATACAGGGTTTATGTTTGCTGTGAAAGGTACCAATTTTATTTTACCTGCAACCATGGCTTATAGGGTTTCCTTGTATACATTTTTAAGAGCAATCATATTTACCTTAATGTGTCATTATTAATTTTATATTAAAGTATTCAAAATGCAGTTTTGAAATAAACTACTATGAGCTAATACACTGTTTTTGGGCGTCGGTGCAGGGCAGGCTGATCTCAGCCACTCTGTCTCTTAGCCTCTCCAACAGAGATAAATGAAAGAAAATGTTTTTTTAACTGCCGTGACACAATGCTGCGACTCTTAAAGTGGTTGACCTCAGGTGCCCTTAAATCTAGGGAGGCCAAGGGTGTCTTGGAGGTCGCAGATGTGCTTTTTCTGTCTGTCTTCTCTTTAATGAGTCAGTTTAACAATGTGTTTCAGCTATTTCTGCTCTTGACAGTCCTGGGATTCAGCTTCCTAATGGACACCCTTTGTATTACAGTAAAGGGCTGTGGAAACGGGGAAGCTGTCCAAAGCAAGCATATGATGTTTGATTGAAGTGATTCCAGAGAGTACCCTTTTATCTCTGAGACAATGTTGAACCTTGTTGTAAATTTGTCATCACAACATTATCATCAGGCTAATTCCAAGGAAACAGATGAGTAGAGCAGGAAAAGATACAACTTTTACCAGAACTGGAAAAGCTTCTGTTTTTAAGCTGCCCCAACGGTACGTACACGCGGCAGCGTCGCGTTGAAGCTTGCCGGTGGGCGTGTCTGGCGTGCGACCAACAACCAATCACATTAATCTCCCGCCCCGGACACACAAGCACGTGGTTTGATTGGCTAGAGCTTGTACTGGCATATGATTTGATTGGCTGGCGCTTCCGTCGACGCTTGAAAAGTTGAACTTTTCTCAACTTTCGAAGCGAGCAACGGAGGCAAAGCGACGGAACCACAATGCAGTTCGGCAAAGCGTGACGTCACCCGATTCAATGTGAATGGGAAGCGTCTCCGTTGAAGCACTGCCGTGTGGACGTTCCGTAAGTGGCTTTCGTGCATGCAAACGCACTTCAAGAGAAAATGTAAACACATGCATACACAAAGGTTTTTTTTGTATAGGGGGGTAGGAAAGTGTGTAGCTTTGTGAGCTGTTACACTTGGGGCTGGTTTGGTGCTACTCCCAAACATACATCCTCTGGCATTAAAGTGTGAAATACAAGCTGGAGGTGGAGAATCTATAGACTTGCATAACACTGACAACTCTCGTTGAGGAAAGTTAGGGGCCTCTGACAGCTTTATGGAAAAACAGAACACTAGCGCCAATGTTATACATACACAAACTTACCTAATACTTACTAAGATATAAATAACAATGAGTTATTACGGATGTATGGGACGTATTAAATTAGCAGAAAGCGATGCCTGTTCATGAGGATAAAACAGTTTTATAATTTGTATTTGTTTTAGTGCATTCGAACACTGCTGCATATTCAACGTTTCCCCCCTAATATTTCTGCAATGCTTCCCTGCTGCTCAGAGTTGAGTACATTCTGATCGATTGAATCGGAACAACAATGCATCATTGAGGAAACAGATTTGACGTGGCTGCTCATGACCCTGACACATTATTAAATAATATACTACTATTATCACGATTTTACAAAGATCAGAACAGCTTTTGCCCCAGGCACATCGGTTTTGAACTGACTCAATCACTGAAATCAGTGAGTCTTGGAAAAGATAAAGTTGGGGTCAACTAAATCCATAAGCACGATATGTCTGGTTATTGTCAGAATGCCAGCATAATAGCTCCAGACGTCTCAAACGGCTCCCCATGCTGTAACTTTCCCACCTGCTGTCCAGACCCTGCGGGCTTATTGTATCAGTCTCAGTCTGGCCTGTATCCACACACAGCCATGTGCAGAGAGAGTAAGTGTTAGGGAAAACCTCGGTCACTGACCTATTTAGCAACTCTTTACAGTGCAGCCATTCTGACTTTAACACTGTAATTTGTCACTCCTCTTCCCTTTCTGGACCTGAATGGCACCAATGTTGCCTGTGAGTTTAGTGCTCCGTTTGCCCTCTATACAGGAAGGGGTCCTGTTCTTCTCCCAACAGCCAATGGTAGGGTGGGTAAACCTCTGACCTTCCGTAAAAGATCAAGGTTCCTGCTCACTGTTCTATATCAGTTTCCCACTTGGAGACGATTCTGACAAAGCCAGAACTGTGTTTCAATGGACCACCTCTGTACAGCTCCCCATTGGCTCCTGTACAAGGTGCAGAGCAGGCTTACCACAAGTGTGGGCTGCTCAGCTTTCAAGGTCACTGACATCAGTCACATACCTCACTTTATCGGCCAGAGACCAATAGGGTCAGTTTTCCACCAGTGTAGGAAGGAATTCTATTCATTACACTTCAGATGTTGAGACCAACTCACAAGGCAAGTGTGCAACACTTTCTCCTCTAGTATACTGATCTCATCACCTTAAATGCATCAAGGTTAGAAAACAAAAACACAATTTGTCAAATGAAAGATAATGCGGATAATAGAGATTATAATTTGCCCGAGACATTTCATATTAATGCCAATCTATAATATTCCTGGCTGAATTCCAATATTCAAACGTCAACCCTTCATTTCACATACAAATATGGATGTGACTTACGGTACGTCCACACGGCAGCGTGCGTTGAAGCTTGCCGGTGGGCGCGTCTGGCATGCGACCAACAACCAATCACATTAATCTCCCGCCCCGAACACACAAGCTCCCGGTTTCATTGGCTAGTGCTTCTACTGGCATATGATTTGATTGGCTGACGCTTCCGTCGAAGCTTGAAAAGTTTAACTTTTCTCAACTTTTGAAGCGAGCAACGGAGGCAAAGCGACGTGACGGAACCACAATGCAGTTCGGCAAAGCCTGACATCACCCCATTCAAAGTGAATGGGAAGCGTCTCCGTTGAAGCAACGCACGCTGCCGTGTGGACGGGCCGTAACACGGTACTGTGCTGTTGTGATTGAGACGCTAAATGAAAACCAACGATAAAAAATTGTGTTTGTTCAGGTTATGAACAGCCTTAGCTCTGGCGATACAACATGATAGTTTGCTAAGTTAAGCGCAGCTTGTAGGTAAGTCTAACATTTTATCAATGGACAGATGATTCTTATAGCCGTGTATAGAGGGGGGGGGGGTCATAGTTACCGCATATCACAATACCATCTTTCTAATAAAATAAACATCTATGGCCATGTGTGGAAACACTTCTTGGTCTCTACCACACAGTGACACAATAAACGTAGAGACTTGTATAGAGCCATACACAATACTGTCTCTATTTCAGGAGATCATAAAGTGGCAAACAAGAGAAGACAGTGTGACAAGCCAAAAACTAAAAGCCAGTAGCCAAAGGTGGGATGAAGAGCAGAGAAGAGGGGGGGAGAAGCTGAGAGAGAAAGATCTCTTTTCTTCAGGGTTTCTCTTTTATGGTAAACCTGACCTGAACCCAACAAATGTAGACTTTGACCAATTATGGCTGTCAATGTCTTTACAAAGTTTAATGTTAACATTTTGTATTAAACAAGGATATAATAGTTGTTTATTATTTACTGTGCTTATTATTGTTTTTAAAATATCATCCAAGCAGACCTTAAGGGTTCAAACATTGCCAAGATATTTTTGAAGAAGTCAGTGAAAAAAATGATAGCTTAAAATACTGTGTATTTCCCATGTACTAGGGAAAGTGCACTGACAAAGAGTGCATGATTAATGATGTTAGCAAGGAGTGCCCTGTTGGAACCATCCGGCCTTACTGTAAATGTTGGGTTGTCCTTCCTTTAGCAGCGGATCCAGGAGTTTAGCCAAATGAGGGTTCAGGAAAAGTAGCACCGGATCAGCTGTTAAGTATCACAGTTTAGCTTTACCAGTTGAACATAACCGTAGTGATCTCTTTTTTTCTGGAAATGTGTTCTGTTTATTTAAAGAGAGGAGTAAGTCTTAACACATATATCTAAGGCCTTTCTGCTCAGGCAAATATTATTAACAGTGAGAGAAGAGATTATTTGGCAAGGAGATGATTTCACTGGAATGAGAGTTTTGTTTGGATTGAGAGAAAGGAAAAGCCGGTATGACGCACAGAATAGCAGCTCTTAGATCTGAATCCAACCAAAGCGTTTGTTTTAATAAATCACTGCTGAAAGGTAAATCAGGTAGATCTCGAGACAAACACTTGAAATCTTAACATCATACGCTGGAATCAATTAAACTGAGTTAGAACAGAGAGTCTGTGGTCACTGTTACAGTGTATAAGACCAACCTTTTAACATTTTCCATTTTTACTGTAGGTGCTACACTCCAGCAGCAGGCCAGACTAAACATAGAGCTGCATACTTTCAATTTGGAGGGAAAAAAATCGCATATCCAATATATGCTTGTGTGTTTACGTAAACATTTTCTTTGACTTATTTCTAACAAATTCTGGACTTTTGTCATCACCGACTGCAAGTAGACACTACTTCTTGAAAAAAACAAATAGCATTCTCAGGGCAAGCTTGTATTATTCTTTTTTTTGTAAATGTTCAAATAATTTAATGGAATGGGACTGTCATTGGTCTTTTAAAAAGATAGAAGATAAGAACCTCTTCTTATTCAATTCAAAAACTGATCTTTTCTTAGTAATAATGCTCTTAAAATACATCGGGGAACTATCCACAAAGTCTGTACAGATTGTACAAACGTCAGGTACTAATAGTCTGTGAGAAGACATTTGAGTTACGGACGTTACACAAATCAACTTTATGACTAAACTGCGGCTGTGTGAAACTGTTCAAGAATGCCCTCCCAGACAAATCCTGTACGAATAAATATTTTCCAACTGCAAAACAAGCCCGGTGGCACAAAGAAATACACACAGCGAGTGTGCTGTTTACATTGCAGTCCCTCGCTGGGTTCAATCATTGAGTGACAGTTTTAAATACAGTGAGACACCAGCTCACTGTATAGGTTATGACACTGGTGGTTTTGATGTTTTGTGATCATAATGAGAGAACGGCTTCCTCAAACAGAGCTAGGCTTAATTAACGCAAAACAAATCTCCATAGTTGGGCCAGGAATAGGTTTTGTTGCCTGGCATGGTGCCTTGTTTGATGTAGGGTGTGGCTGCCACTTAAAGTTTTTATTACCACACTCTTTGTAAGCATCTTTTATGTTTATATTAGGAATATATGCATCATGTTGCGGTTCATTGCTGGGAGAACTGATGTGTTGGTGAACTTAAGCATAACGCATTTAAATTTGTAGCAGCACTGTGAAAAAGCAAACATGTTCTTAGTTGTGCATGACGGGGAGAAGCTACGCCATTGGTACAATGACAAAGTCGAACCAATCTCAAATGTTTTCCTCTCTTTCGCACAAAATATAAAGTCATAAATGTCAGAGAAAGCAGAAATTAGAGCTATCCAGCTTTTGTTCTCGGGACATTCTTGTGTTGTGTCTTTAGCTACAGACTATGGGGGGAAAGAACAAGACTTCTGTGGCTGTAACTCTGCAGAGGCTCCTTAAAGCAGACTGAACTCAATGGTTTCTAGGGAACACTGCAGAGGGCGGACATCCAATCTCAGAAAAGAATGATAGAAAGCAATGAAACACCGTGGAGAACAAAAGGCTATCAGTGGAGTATACGACCGTCCTCGCCCTCATATCAGACCTTGTGCAAAGCAGAGAAAGATATTTATCTCCTCTCTAAAAACAAATGTAAACCAAACCGTGCATTTGAAACAAAACAAGAGTTGAATTTATTGGTTCAATAAGAGAGAAGAAAAGTGGAGGAAAAGTATGGGCCTGCAAATATTTCATTTCCTTTTATCTTCCCCCTGTGAGAATGACACAATGGGCTGTGCACTTGTAATAATTTGTCACACACATGTCATAACAACAAACACAAACTGTGTGTGTGTGTGTGTGTGTGTGTGTGTGTGTGTGTGTGTGTGTGTGTGTGTGTGTGTGTGTGTGTGTGTGTGTGTGTGTGTGTGTGTGTGTGTGTGTGTGTGTGTGTGTGTGTGTGTGTGTGTGTGTGTGTGTGTGTGTGTGTGTGTGTGTGTGTGTGTGTGTGTGTGTGTGTGTGTGTGTGTGTGTGTGTGTGTGTGTGTGTGTGTGTGTGTGTGTGTGTGTGTGTGTGTGTGTGTGTGTGTGTGTGTGTGTGTGTGTGTGTGTGTGTGTGTGTGTGTGTGTGTGTGTGTGTGTGTGTGTGTGTGAATGTAGCTGCTTTGAACTCACAGTCATATGTTGGCCCTGGCCCAGGATCTCCAGCTGCTGTTGGATCTCTTGGAGCCTCCTCTCCTGCCCTCTCCTCTCCTTTATATCCTGCAGGGCCTTCTCTCCTGGCTGCGGGTCCCCATCACACTTCCAGCCAACCTCTGAGCCACGGCCCTGACACATAACAGACACGACTGGTTCTCAAAGGGAACAAACATCTAATATCACATGTAGACGGGCTTATAGGATTCTCTCCTGGAGCTTCACTTGCAGTTTGTTCTAGGAAACTTTTAAATAGCAATCAAAATCATATGACAGTTCATCACGATCAATTCAAGTCCATATACCATCATTGTTGTGTTTTAACGATGAACAACAATCTTCTTTCCTGTTTTTTTACTGATTTCACAAGCACGTTATAAGACACGAGAAAGCCAAATACCTCGACTACAGCTCCAGTTCATATGGGGTCCAACATAAATCACACATTTTTGGCTTTGGTGCACTGGGTTTACAAAATGAAGACTGCATCCAAGGCAAACTTTGAAACTGGGTCAGAACGAAATGGGAGAGTCCTGCAGTGGAGGGCCTTCCACAGACAGCTGATAATTGAGAGGCCTTGAAGAAGGAATAACTCTGCAGACTTAGTATGATGAACAGCAGCTGATGGAAAAGGTGCATTATTGTTGCAAATCTAAAAGGATACGTCAAATGTTCACATCCTAATGATGGAAAAACATGGCAAAAAGGACAACACTGTCGAACCTGACCAGTGAGCGACCTGTGGTACAGTCACAATTCTTCCTCTAAAAATATACAGATACTCTATAAAAGCAGCAACTAGATTGAAAAGATGGTTGGGTCTGGGAGGATGCTGCCAACCGCATGGCTCTTTTGGAGTGTCAGGCCCAGCGCCATGTGGTTGGAATCCCCATCACTCTTGGTTAGTCTGGATGCCAGGCAGGCGTATGCATGATCTGATAATGTGGAAATGACGGATATTTCATAAAATGTCCACATCTCAAAATCGACTTGCGTACAGCAAAAATAGTAGGTTATCGGAGACGGCGGCACCCAGCTAAAAGCTCTGATTTACTAAATCTATTATGACATGTTTATGATGGGATGTAATCTTAGTTAAACCAGGGTAGGGGTGAGTTTGGTTAACTGGAGCCAGTATGTTGGGAGGAAGCTGCCTAAATAAATGCTTCAGCCCTTGTTAATAAGAAAAACAGACATGCCTACTCCACTAATGCCACATGTTGCATTTACACAGACTTTAGGCTTATCTTTTAATATTTAAACCTTGGCAACAAAAAGAAGATGTGTCCTTACTGCGTGTGGCCTCACCTACCATGCCCTCTGTCTTCCTTTTAGGGAAATAATAGGGGGAAAGACTCTTTCAAGTGGTCGTTATTCAAGCCCTTCAGTTAGGATTCCCTCATCCAGACTACAAAAGACAGGACCACATCGGGATCAGACTCCTGTCGTGCGCCAGAATGAAAAACGCGGCGTTCCAACCAGGAAAAATAAAAATTAAAGTCTAGCTTTACCACCGTCCTCACACCACTAAATGCACGTTTCTAAAAAGCCCAAATCTTTGGGAGAAACCGTTTATTTAATTTGGAAACGACAGCTGCCCTACTTTTAAAAACAATAGATGGCAAACTTTAAAATTGTCTTCAGGGCTAAGCAGTGATAAAGATATCACTGACCAATGTTTGAATGAATTTGGCATGTCACATATTTTCTTACTAAACCAATTCTCTGTGGCTAAATGAACACCCCGTGAGTTCTGGTGAGTGTGAGGGGAAAGTCCACATGCTCTTTGTATAAACCTCACTGATTTGACCCTAATTACAGCAAAGGAAGAGCGTGGTGAAGTTAGTTTTAGGTTGGAAATTCTACAGATTTTCCCTCCAGATCCAGCAGAGTCTTCTTACTCAGTTTCACAGACTGTCAGCAGTCATTGGCTGGTTAGCTCACATCCGAGCACTCACTCTGGACCACAGGGCTTCACTTCGGGACCATCAATAAATTACTGTTTGAATGCCACAAAACCCATGTTATTTTCAAAACCTCCATGCTAAGCTGCTATGTATGTGGAATTATGCTAAAAGAATTACTATAAACTTTCTAAATGTTCAATACAATATTAATATAAAATAAAAGGTGGCCTAAAATATAGCCCAGGGTAGGAATGAAATGCCTCATTGATTTGGGGTCACTGTCACATGACATAGAGGCTATTGAAAAGATCAAGAACTAAAATAAAAACAGCAGAATCTTCGTAAAATATTTTAAAGGGGACCTATCATGCAAAATGCACTTTTGTACGTCTTTTATACATGAATATGTGTCCCCCGGTGTTCCAGGGAACTCACCAAGTGTCAGAAAACACAACCCTCTCTATTTTCCTCCATACCCAAATCTCTAAAAAAAGGGGCTGCAACGGATCTGATACAGACTGATCAAGATTTGAACACTTCTATGACGTCACAGAAGTGGCGCTACGGCTATTGGGCCAACTCCACCAATCAGGAGGAGACAGCCACGGCCATTGCCGTTCGAAAGCGCTGGAGACGCTGTAGTACATATGCCAGGCCTGTAGATGGTGCTGTTCTCACAGAATCTGCCCTTGCAAAAACAGAGCTAAAAAAGTGCAAATTGAGCGAAATGAGGCATGGCTAAAATGCATGATCTGTTTGGTATTTTGAAAAAAAAAAAGTATAAATATGCCTTATATAGGTATGGTCCTACACTATATTATTCAAATATAGCATTGTGGGGGAAACTTCTGTGTAGCAATGCATTGGGAGTCACCGACTCAGGAAGGAGACACGGTGAGAGTTGGAGCTTTTGATGTCAAACACTGATGGGTTTATTCAGAGTATTCGGCCAGAGGATTCACATCACAAATCAAAGAGTCAGAGGTTCTGACTACACGGTAGAGTTGCCACGTCAATTCTGAAGAGCCTCTCTCTATGTTAGACCTTTTAACGGGTTCACAGAGAGAAATCAACATCTCTGAAGGAGTAGACTAAACAGCTGGGAACACTGAGCCACCTGCGTCCGACACTCATGGCCTCGAAGATTTCACATCTTAGAGTCCACAAACACCGATAAAGAAGTGCCTCAGCGTTCTCACAACAATTACCCTTCGTGCCAGACAAGTTGACCGGTCACAAACTGGTGACAACAACACATATGGCACCAAGGCCTTTCCTTAAAGGAGATAACAGACGTCAGAGTAGATCATAAAACGTCACAGAGCAAAAGGTTAGATATCTAGAAGAATTATTCCCTAACAAGCATGATAGGTCCACTTTAAAAAGAAAACAATAAAATCCTTTATATTGGAGGCGCTTTCAGTTTGGACCAAAGAGGCAAAACTACCAATATTGCCATCCCTGCTGCCACAGCAAATAATACTTTGTTATAAAAGTTTCATGCAAGGTTGATCTGCAGCACATATTGGTTCCAATGCTTGAAATGAAATGCCAAGATAAAACAGATGTGATATTCTTGGCAACCCTATAATACTGCTATGTTCGTGTATACTTGCTTTGACAACTGACAATTGAAAGCTGTATGAGCTCATAAGCGTTAACCTGACACGGGGTTCATTTTCTTTTTTCACTGAAGACTTGTAGCTTACAAGTTATTAATTGCAGTACTTTGTTCACAGTGTTCCTAAATATAAAAATAATTAATCAGTAATAATAAATGAATGAAACACATTTAGATCAAGGCATTGGCAAGGATAAACAGTCACATTGTAGTAATGATTCACTTCTTGGAGCATACTAGGGAATAATGTTTCTTGGCCTTTACAGACTTCAGTGATTGTCCCAATAAATTGCAGTTTCTTGAGCTTCCTCTTGTTGAATGTGCGATACCTTTGACTCTGAATGAGGTTACACAGAGTGACTTCCAGCAGAGACCAAGGTTAAGCTTATCTGAACATCAGCAAAACGCTGGTAATTGGCTCTCCTCAGAGTTGCCACTTGACATGATGTTTAAGGCAATGATCCCATTACCTTCTATCTGTTTCACAAGACCGCTGGGAGGCCACAAAGATCTAGACTTTGTTTTCTTCCAGATGGAAAAACTTGTCAAACCTAATGACCTTTTTGAGACAAAACTACGCCATTCTAGTGATGAAATATTAAGTGTAAGCTTTAGACTTTGAGTTTGCATTAGTGCCACGAGTTGATGTAAAAGGCATCATTGTTGCTATTACGCTGACTGCCAAGTGCGCCATGAATGTTAAGAAAAATAGGAAAAGGTCATTCATTCGTGATATGACAACGCCCGAAGAGCTGTCCTTGTTTCACCTCAGGATCTGACTTACTTGCCCACAATAAGAGAACAGGAATGATTTGCCAATTGCTGTGAGCAAAGCCATCATTGGAAGACTGTTTAGATCAGATAAGTTTAATCAAGCATGCATTTGATTAAGTTGTTGTTCACATCTTGTGATACATTCTTTGATTGGATTCTCTGCAGGAATACATTAACAATGACAACCACTAAATAGAATGATCTTATTAAGTGGTTGTTTGACACATCTGCAACGTTTTGATTGTTGATTGATGATCTGCTGATTTCCAAAAGAATAAAGTTGAAGGGAAATGTTTTCTCTGCTCAATTATTAAATGATCATCCAACATGTGGTTGTATCTGTGGTGCGATTTGATAATTATAACAGCTGGATACTTTCAGGCAGATGTATTCTCAGATACATCAGGAAAACAAGACAAGTAATGAAAACCAGCAATTAGGTAACTCTTATATAAGTGTCCTTCTGCAATGTGTCTGTGATGTTGTGAGGTACGCGTGTGACGCATTCACATCACATTTGTTTGTTTCTGATAATCCAAGGCGTTATTCAATTCAGTAGTGTGTGTGGGAGGGGAGGGGAGGGGAGGGGAGGGGGGGGGGGGGGGGGTGGACACTGTAGGACACTGTACATTGTGGAGGTGGTGGGAGACAGGAGAATGGCATCCAGCAGGGAGGACAGCTTGGATGCCATTCTCCTGTCTCCCAGCACCAATGTGTCCCACCCCCACCAGGACACCCTGTCCTCACTGTGCAGCTCCTTCAGCAACAGGCTGCTGCACCCCCGCTGTCTCACGGAGAGATACCGCAGGTCCTTCCTTCCTGCAGCGGTC